GTTTGATGAAAGAATAAGTAAAAATTGCTGGTAACGTTGAGACTATTAAATGTAATAGTTACCTACTAGATGTTGAGAGTCTACCGCATGTTGGGGAGTTGACTGAAGTTCTCTACTTTGATAAGAACACTAAGAGGCAGGTATTATTCCCATTTTACAGACACAAAAACTCTCCTCACAGTGTACCAAAATGGACATGTGCTGTTTGGTGCTGGCACAGCCAATGAACAGGGGGACAACTCATAAGGAAGTGTGTAGCTGGTTCCATAAACTGGCATCTGAGAGAGTGGCATGGCTGAATTGAAGCCTTTTTATGCTTCTCTATTTGAACTAATATCGTCAATTCAGCTATGTTTGTCAAAGTGCACCAGTAAACTGTGTATGTCTAAGCATGCTGCTGGTCTGGGGAGACTGACAAAGAACCATGATTCAGTGCAATGGAGAGCTCAGGTTTTGCAGGGCACGGAGGGGTCAGGCAGTGTAGTGAACGCATAGGCCACATTAAAATTCCTGAAAGCTTGTCTTTAAAAAAAAAAAAAGGGTGGGGGGTGCCTTGCTGACTTTAGTTGGTAGAGCATGTGACTCTTTTTTTTTTTTTTTTCAACGTTTATTTATTTTTGGGACAGAGAGAGATGAGCACAATGGGGGGGAGGGGCAGAGAGAGAGGGAGACACAGAATCGGAACAGGCTCCAGAAACAGCCCAGCCGACGCTGGGCTCAACTCAGGACTGCCGCTGAAAGTAGATCTGGCTGAAGTCGGATATTTTAACCGACTGGCACACCCAGGCTCTGGGCATGTGACTCTTGATCTCAGGGTTTAAGTTCGAGCCTCACGTTGGGTGTAGAGATTACTTAAAAATAAAATCTTTAAAAAAGTAAAAAATAAAAGTAAGTAAAACTCCTTAAAGAGCAGGGTAGCAAGTAGGTTTACAGTGCTTCCTTTATAATTTACTCAGGTAGTCTTTAGAATGTCAACACAAATACAGGTAAATTGCTGATAGCTGGAGTGAGCCAATGGAAACTCAAAAATACAGCGTAGGGTCTTCTCTTTTGTGAAGGAAAATATAGATCTGATTATTAGAAAAAATGGAGTTCTTTCTATACACAAAAATCCTAATGGAAGAAAACCAAATTGTAAAGTACGTAAATACTGGGAAATGACATGGACAGTGAGAAATGAAAAATTACGCTGAGTCCCCCACATTACTTTGTATCATGACAAACAGGTGTAGATAGCATCAAACCTTATTTTGGGCACAGATGCACTGCATTCTTTGCAGCTTTCTTGTGTTCAGATTACTTCCCAAATTCTTGCTTGGTCTCAGTGGACTGAGGAGTAAGAAACAGATTTAAGGGACACTTGTCTATCCTTTTAAATGTTCCATAGATTTGAATGTTTCTAACCTTTGCTTTTATTTGGCCCAATTATCTGATGTAAAACTGTTTTCAAAATGCTAGGTCTAGCCCTTAAGGGATGGAGTCCACACCTGTTGGCTTGACAACAATGCTATGTGTGAGCATCTTTTTGGTTTTTATCAATCTCAGCAGCAGCTACGTGATTCCAGGTACTGGCTCCTGTGGTCAGAAGCTGTTGTTAGAACATGCCCAGAACTGGAGAATTTTAGATGATCTTTGGCTTTTCACCGTCGCTTCTACTTTGACTGCATGGGAATATGATATTTATCTATCAGATTCTTTTCTTCCAAATATGTGCCATCAATGGCAGGAATGTGACTTACATTCCTGAAATCAAAGACCTCTGTTGCTTTCCTTTGAACAAATATCATAATTCCATCAAGTGCTCGATACAGTTCTTGATGTTTCATGAATGAGTTTGCTTGGGGCAAGGATGGGAATAAGAAAAGACTTGTACATCAATACTGTCATACCTTTTGCTGAGTCTATCTCTCCCTCCACATCTTCTCTCCAAAATTCTTGGCAAAGATTGATACACTATCATAGTAAGCGAACTGCTTTACCAATCACTAGCCGAACAAAGGTTAGGCCCTCACTCTTGTGTTAATTCTAATACTTGACCTAAATCAGATTTGGGATTCAAGAGAATACTGAAGAAACTATATGGAACACTGCGATGAAGTATCAAAAGACCACTACAGTATTTGTCTAAATCTTTTAAGTCTTTTAGGCACAATGTGCAATTTCTAGGTTAATTCTTGAGATCAAGTTCAAGCACACACATACACACACACAGAATTCATTTATGACATGCTTCTGACTCCAAAATACCATTTAAATGTGAAACTTTAGTTAATATTTAATATTTTCTGAGGTTCAAAAATATCATTAAAACCTGACTAAAAGTCATGAAACAGTAGAGTATAAATTATTCAGAACTTCTAATAAACTTTACTATAGTTAAATCGACCAAGTGTCCTTAAGGAACTTACGAAAATGGGTTCATTCAACCCATACTGTTACTTTCAATTTCATCATATTTTCTACTTTTTTATGGTTGATGAGGATGACAGTGTGGAGTAATGATAACCAACATATGAAATGAAATAGCACATTGAGAGTCAGATCTGGGACTAATATAATTTTTTTAACATTTTGGCAGGTAGCCTCAGGCAAGTCATTAACTGGAGAATTCTTTCCTAGGGATCTCATAAGAATCTAACAAGTCATTGACGTGAAAATTCTTTGTAAAGCCAATGTCTCACATCATACTGTACAGAAAATGGCATTTTAGTGTAGAGAAGGAACTCTGTTAAGTGTTCACCACTGAGGAAAGAACATAATCTGACCTGTGGCATAACCTTTAAAAAGGGGCCTTTATAGTGGGATCTATTTTTTTTAAAACTTTTAATGTTTATTTTTGAGAGCGCGGAAGAGAGCGAGCGAGCATGGGAGGGGCAGAGACAGAGAGACACAGAATCTGAAGCAGGCTCCAGGCTCTGAGCTATCAGCACAGAGCCCGATGCGGGGCTCAAACTCACAGATCGTGAGATCATGACCTATGCCAAAGTTGGATGTTCAACCGACTGAGCCACCCAGTCGCCCCTCACTGTATTTTTTTTAATGCGTTTGAGACAGAGAAAATTTTTTTCCTAGTTCCTCCAATTGGTAAAAGCTAACACAAGTTATTCGCCAGGCACTGTACTAAGCACTTAACATGAATGAGCTCATTTCTCCTTCACCACCACGCGGCGAAGTGTGTGCTAAGTGCTATGGTTATGTCCATTTTACAAATGAGGAAACCAGGGTCTGGGCTTGAGAAAAATCCACAATTAATCATGACCGTAGCCAGAATTTTATCCATATCCATTCATTCAGCAGTAGTCATTTTATTCTATATGTTTTGTTATTTGCTCCTACTCCCATAAATGAGACTCCTATAGAGGCTAGTGCAGAACACTGAAGTACTTTTCAGTACTTTTGGGGTACGAAGGAAATGCTGGACCACAAACCTGGGATCATGAAACTCAGCCTGCTGAACTGCTGGGTTCCTGTACTGGCGAAATATGCCACGTGTACAGCCACATAGTAAGTTGGAAAGAGGAGGCTACACAAATTTCCGAAGCATGGGAGGAGGGCCGCGAGTTGCACTGAGCGTATGCCTGGGGAGCCTGCTTACCATAGCTCCCGAAATAGCTATTGCATTAAAAGGGCATGTAGAATATTTTCCAGATTTCCCAACCACAAAGACTTCACCCCAGCTTTGGCTTCGGCCATCAAAACTTGTGGTTTGGACATGAAACTGGAATCAATAATCTATCTTGCACCCTGTACCTTTGCCGCCTGCTCCAAAACAGTGTGTTCCGTGTTCCATTCTTTTAGGATTTACTAGGAGATAAATCATTTAAGTTGATAAATCTGTTACAACTTAAGAGGCGATAACTTTATGCATTATTTATGTTGGGGTCTCCAATACCTTAGCCTTCAACAGGAGTGACTAATTTGGGAATTTAAGAGCACCACAGCAGCTCCCTGGGAAGCCGTTTTGGAGGTGGTCCTTTTATTATATACCTCATTGGCAGCTCGCGGTGCGTCAAGGCTGCCTAGGCCAGCATCGGACGGCCTCAAAGGGAGCCCGGGGGCTGGAAATTCTAGTGGCAGTAAGCTTATTCAACTGCACAGTGTGCTTAAGCTTCCAGAAATGTGTCTAAACAGGGGCCACAGCGAAATATTAATTTATCTGGGGCACAATGATCCAAAAACTTTAATTAATTGAAAAGTACCCAAGCAGGAGGGGGATTTACTCCAACTCTGGGTTTTCCTTAAAAACAAGAGCAGACATAAAACCCCAGATAAGGCCCTAATACAAATAATGAAGGCACTCAGCAGAAAAACGAATCTTATTTTACAAAATTATCTGAAACACCCGGGAAGAAAGAAATGCAGAAAGAAATAACATCACGGTATGAGTACCTCCTAACGATGTGGCTTCTCTGAGCATTTTACACCCCATTTCTATTGTTAATTTTTCAGCAGATCTTTCTTTTAATACAACCACCATCAAAAAATTCCACATAATTTACTCACAAAGGAAACACACCTGCAACTTTATTAATAACCAACTTTTTTTTTTATTAGAGCAGATACAGTTGTGAAAACTGTACATTATACATTTTGGTTTCAAGGATTATAAATAAAGGAACTCACAGGTAGGGAGTTCTTTTTCACAGCAAGAAACTTTAAATAAACAAGGTCATGTTTTATTAAGTACATTGGCAGACTTCATGTGCTGTCCAAAATGTAGAGTACAGTATAACAACCCATTAGAAAGAGCCTTTCATGTAAAATACAGCTGTGCACATTTTAGAAAAATACCAACAATTTGAGCTTTGTTTTTAAAAAAGCTTATAAATCATACACATATTTATAAATGGAACATGCTGACTTTATAAACATATCCTTTAGTTATCTGTTACCCATTATTTCCAAAGCATTACACGTTTTAAATAAACACTTAATAAGATTAAATATTTTGTTTTATTTTTTAAAAAAAATCCGCTTTCCCAGCATCAAGAGCTATGGGGTTAGGAAGGCGCAGTGAGTGTACGGAGACTGACACAGGAGCTGAAACGTTTCTTGGCTAAAAAAACGTACTTCCTAAATTTAAAAGTCAAAGCAAAATGTAAAAAATAAATAAATATACAAGTTGTAATTTTCATTTGCTCTCTTTCTGCTTTCTTCTTTATTCCATATCGGTCACACCCAGGATTCTCAATATATTGCACTTCTGCAAGAAACACCACTGGGTTACTGCCCTGCAGGGGACAAAGCATTCAGTCCACACCTGTGCTAACCTGTGAATTGTCTCTTCTGCATTGAAAAGGTAGCAAACAAGGTAACAAGAATCTGATTAAACCATGCAGACTGTGAAAAATATTTAGGAATAGCTAGCTCCTTCTCCACGATGTAATGTCTTAACAGAGATTTAAGATACCTTTCCTCCCCTGATTTCTTTTTAAATAATTATTTTTATAAAGACCACGTAGTGTCTCTAAGTAAGCATGCGTTTGAGTAATAAAGGATAAATTATAAAACAGCAAAAAAAAAAAATCAGATTATGTCAGAATAACAAAGGACTGCAAAAGACAAATATTTAAATAAAAACGTCTAAACCTTTAAAATGTGAAATAAAATTACGAAAGGACTTTGAAGGACACGAAAGGCATAAAATCGAGAAGCAGAGGTTTAACAAAGCTTTATGCTCTACCTGAATGTATTCAACAAAAATTTAAGTTGGAGGAAAAAAAAAAGATTAGAGCAGTTATTAATAGCATCTTGCTTAACTTTCATGGGAATTAACATAGTCACTGACAAGATTTTATTTGGTTGTAAAGTACGTCAGCAATGAAACTGAATCCTTTAAACACCGATTACTGCAATCCATGCAACACTTTGACTATACTTCTTAGAATTCTGTTGTCTTTCAGCTTTTAAAATTTAGCACCTCCTAAGTGCATAAATAATTCATCTCGGTAATGTTAAAAATATTTCAATTTTTTTCTTAGGAAGGTATAATGCCTTCACATCGCTAAATTTTAAACAGCCTGTTACAGGTTTTGGAAGACTGCATGACATGAAAACAATGATGTATTGCTATCGAAATGAACACATCTTCTCTAGAATTGTGTCGTTTCTTTTCCTTGAGATGCAACAAGTGTGTTTCATCCAGCCGGGACCACACGTTGTAGAGGACTATACATCCTACTTCAATAAACGGCAAAAATGAACATAGTCGTGCACAAGCCAACGAAACGTTCTCTCCCAGAACATTCCAGGAGATGTTAAAGCAGCAGGTCACGGCATAAGACTGGTGAGTGATGCTGCTACCTATTTCTTCCAATGAGACAGGAGTGAGCGTTGGAACTGTGGCCACAGCAACACAATCCTCCGACCGCATTCCTCGGGCAGTCGCTCGTTTCCCCAGCTCCCTACTAAAAACGTCCGATGGCAAAATAGTAAGGCAGCTGTTGACTTCCATCAAGAAAAAAAAAAAAATGCAGCTCCATACATTTCCAGTTTAGTCACACTCTGCTAGGACAGATGGAGTAGCCAATGCCAAGAACTTCGCCGGATGGGGCTGCTTCAGCAGATTTTAAAAAAGAATGATTATTAACTTTTGCTCTCCAACACGGCTGCTTGCTTCAGCTCCCAGAGGACCCCAAAGCCACAAAGCATTCCCAGGGGAACATGAACAGGTCCTCTGGCTGAATTTTCCAAGTGTCATCTCTTTCGCGATCCCATCCTAATTCCAAGCCTCCTTCCCTGAGTCTGAGTCTGACTGGGGTGTGCCATTTAAAGGGCTGATGATGCCACGGCAGGGAAGTGTGGGCTAACACCGCTAGTTGTCATGACTTCACTGAGGGGTCAAAACAGTTATATCATTAAGTAACTATGTTGAATCACATTCAGGCACAGCCAAAATGAAAGTGAAGGACAATATGCAGTTAAAAAAAAAAAATAAATTTGAATATGGGAAAAGAACGTTAGAAACTGTGATTTTTATGTAGAAATTAAGGCTATTCTTACCTTTCCTAATTCCAATCAAGTTAGAAAGTGAACAAAAAGAATGGCCAACCCGATATTCAACAGCATGACAAGGACAATCATGACTGAATTAGGGCCCTGGAAATGAACAGAACAAAACAAGGCATAACATTTCCATGTTAACATCAATATGTAAACTAGCTCATAAAATCGATTACCAAAAATACAAAAAAACCCCGTTGCAGTAAATATGGCATGAACAAATGACAACAGCTCCAAAGAGTATAAACTAAAAATAGCAAAGCCGTATTTAGATGGAGCCGTCTCTGCACTTTCACTATGAAATGACTCCAGTCTTGATTTAATCTAAGAAAATGACTTACAAATAATCTCAACATTCACCTCAAAACATTCGACAACAGTCTGGGTGAGAGAGAGTTTGCCACACTGGGGTCAGGAACTAATGGAAAGTGGGCATGACTTTTTGTTAAGGCATAATTTAGATGAGAAAGAATTGTTTCTTCATGAAGGCAGTTGGAAAGTAAGAATAAGATCTTTAGGATACTGAGGCCTCTCGGGAAAAATTTAGGAAAACTCAAAATGAGGGTCCCTCTTTTTCCTGGTCGTATTTTTCGACACCACCACATCCTTGAAGCAAAAATTGCGAGCGGGAAGTTGAACACTTGCAGAAATTATTTTACAGGTCTAATTCTTTACGTCTTTTCTCACAGCCACAACATTTCAGAAATCAAGTTCTATTTGATGAACTGCAGACTCCTATTTTGATAAATAAGGCTACAACAAATACCAGTTAGCCAAGGTACCCAAACTTTGTTTACTTGTTTAAACAAAAAGCAACCTTATGACCCATCTTTTCAGAGCTGCTCATGCTTGGCCATTTTTGTTACAGAGACATGATCTTGGTATTTACTATTAAAATAGAGTCTAATTCTTAAGTAGTATTAAATGTGTTCTAAACTGGCTTTAGGTGGGTGGCGTCGCTATTTTAATTCTTATTTCACAGATGAGGACAGTTGTGTGATTTTTGGTGGGGGGTGTTAAGTAAGGAAGACTGGAACTGTCATTGGTCCACTGCTCATGTCACAAGGTCTAGAGCTTGGGTCATATACCCTTCTAGGAGGTTTCCTCCCCAGATGGGCCCACAACCTCAGAGGCAGAGGTCAGAGTGTCCTGGTTGTTGTCTATCCTGACACTTCATACTTTGTCACTTCTTGTTAAATTCTGTCTTTGTCCTAGACTGAGATCCACAGTGGCCCTGCATTGATCACCACTGTGTGCCCATGCATACGGATTGTCCAATTCATTCAGGTTTCCATTATGGACACCTACTATCATCTGGTACTTTTCCAGGTACTGTGGGTGTGGTAGTTGACCTTATGAATTCATCATCTTAAATGATGAACAGGGTGATTAGTAAAGTCAGGGTGGTTGAGAAAAGGAAGTAAACACGGGTTGAGATAGGGAGTATTAGGAAGAAGAAAAACCCTAGTTCCTAAACCCCAAGTAAACGGGAGGAAAAAGCAACATTTACTGCACGTCTTTATATACCAGGCAGTGGGCTAAGCATTTCTGGGTAGGTTATTTCTTCTTCACAGGTGATTAGGAGTTCCATTTCACAGAGCTCTGAGAGGGTAAGTTTCTTGCCCGAGGTTACTCATCCAGTTTAAACAAATTACAGAACTAAAATTAAACTTTGTCTACTTCAGAGCCCCCTTTTTCCCCCACATCCCTATTATAGCCACAGGACTTAGTTTAAAAATAATTAATACTTTTAGTTTAGCTTGGTATGCAGAAGTCGGGTTGTTAGCTGCCCCATTCTGAAGTAGGTCACTTCATCTGCTGAGTTCAACTGAGCTCTGTTTAAGCTATTCGGAGCCTGAGCCTGTTTCCCATTCTACTTTCTCTGCCCTCCCTGTTCATGCTCTGTCTCTCTCTGTCCCCAAAATAAATAAAAAACGTTGAAAAAAAATAAAAAAAAAATTTCTAATCAAGTTCTTAAAAATGGCATTTTCATCTATACCCTATGATTTCATGGTAGCAGAAACCATCAAAATCTTGATAGAATACAACTATTCTAGAAGAACAGTGGGTCCTAAGTTACTAGAAGGGTCCTAATCTATGTAACTCATCAATAATGATTAACCTAAAATGTATAATGTAAGAAAAATTTATACCTCAGAAAATAATTGAAATAATCTTTTAACATTGTAACTCAGCATGGAAATTAAGGAAATGCTATTACTATCACAAACTTTGATTAGATTTTGCTCAGGAGTATGTTAAGGAGTTTGGATTCACTTAACTCTTCTAAGTCAGTGGATTTAATTTATAATTCCCAAAGACCATGATATGAAAGGCAAGGAAAAGTATATGGGGTCAGAACAACATAATGTAGAGTTCAGTGTTTTATAGTGGTCCGAGGAAAAGCAGACTAACAGAGAAAGTGCCTTTGGTGAATCTAACTTCAAAAGTTTAAGGTGAGTCTGGACTTTTTACTTCCCATTTCATAAATCCGTACAAGTTCCCTGAATTTATCTTTTTGAATTGGATAGCATTTTTGGATGGATACGTATGTATATATTGAACACCTAACATATATTTATTTATCCAACTAGGACAACTCCATTTATGAAGCCATTTTTAAAGATGACCCGGTAAAGAGATGAGGGTGAGCCAGGCATAAAAAGTTCAAACAGCAACCAGGTGGAAAATAAATTCTGGGATGCTATGTTTAATAGGTAGATATTGAGACATGACCTCTGTGTTCTTCAGATACCTAGGCTGGGCACGGGGTGGAAAGCTTTAAGGTGAAGTCTCATAAACATGACTGTGGTAGCCAGTTGTAGCTTAAAATAGCAAAATGAAAAAAAAAAATCAGTCTTGCTTTTCAAGACTGACTGAAACAGGTGGAATAAAAGAAGCTGTAGCCGGCAAAGTGCAAGTCTTGATTGGAAGAACTTTCAGGCAGTTAGAAAAGAAAGTGTAGGACGGCAAAATGTGGAAAGAAGTTCTAGCTCAAGAAATTTACTGTTTTTCCTTCAAAAGACTATTCCTCTTTTAAAACTGTGAGAAATAGTCTGGTGAGCTACTACAGTTTATGTTAAATCTAAAACTTCTCTGAAAACGTGGAAAGCACACAATTTAGTATTAATAGCCAAGTTTTTACGTATTTACTGTTTTTAGGGTTTCAGCGTGTGTGTAACTTCAAGGGATGCCTTAAAGTTTTATAACAATTGAAAAGCAAGATTAGGTAAATTTCAAAATAGACTTGGAAGAGAGTAAATGGTAAGAAAAAGTGCAGGCAGTTCTCAGAAGGAGTCAAGATTCCTTCTTAGGAGAGCCCTTGCTGGTCTGTTTGATAAGGCTGTGAAGATGTCTCTCGTAGCTCCTACAAGTTGTCAATGTTGCAAAATCCTACAAAAATGTTGGTACCACACAGAACGGTTTCCCTGGGACATTAGTCCATGTGCAACCATGGCCCATAGGAGTCACATGTTTCCTGAGAAGGGATGCTAGAGTAATCCCTTGGCATCACCTCCCTTCTCTTATTTGCTTAGTGTCAGCCTGTGTCCCAGAAGATTTTCTCTATTTCTAGAAGATCAATATCCAGGGTGATCCTGAGAATGGGTCCAAATCTATTGGAATATTTGTGAACTATTTTATGCTTTAGCAACTACAGTGTTGAAACCGTAATAACCATTGTTTTTTGAGCACCTATCCAGGTGCTAGGCGCTGTGCTAAGAACTGTGGAAGGAAGCACTAACTCAATTAATCTCCTCAACAACACTATGATACCAGTGGAGAGGAGCAACTCACAGAACAGGTAGGAAACCTGCCCCAGGGCCCATGGCTGAGAAGCAACACAACTGGGATTTGAACTTAGAGAAAATCTGGCACCAGAGTCCACACCCTTAGCCACCAGCCTATACTGTCTCAGTCAACAGGCTGGTGACTAAAAGTCCAGATTCCAGTGTATCCAACCAGCCTAAAAATGGCGATTCTGACTCAAACCAGATCTCTCAGCTGCCCACCAGGAACACCGATTCAGTCTGATTTTCCGTCCAGTGTGTGCTTTATTGTGAATACTCCTATGAGCTTTCAAGTTATTTGTAAACCTCTAGCTTATACAGTGTCTATGTCAAAATTGTATGCACTATTCCTTTGTTCTAAAGGTGGTTCATTAACTACCTTTATGACGGTTTTAACTGTCAGGAAAACAGTCACCAGGAGTGTGAAAGGCAGCTTTCTGTTATTATCAGGAAAAGAAGGTTAATTGTTAAAATCTTCACAAGGAGGTGCCAAGGCACTCTTGACTTCTGGTTCCTGTCACGCACAGAGGCTGTGGAGTGCTAGGCCTCATGTACCTTAAGGTGTGGAAGGGATCCTAGAGACCGACCTACCCAGCTGGAGGGTGCCCAGCTACCTCCAAGAATCAGATGGTTCTGCACAGAAGTAAAAAAGATAACTTTTTCTAAACAAGGAAGTGGTGAGTTTATCACACACTAGTAACATTTTAAAGAAAGTTTACAAGACACTGTATATGGCCTTGCATTGTTTGAATTTCACCCTTGTAAGTCCGGAAAACCAGCACTAATAGAGTTAGTCTGTTTTGAAAACCATTTATCCCCATGGAGGATGACTCTCAGGAAGTTAACGCAGTTAATCTAATTTATATTTAGATGATTAAAAAGATGAGAACTGGTGTTTGTAAATATTAGCAAAATAAACCTAAGAAACATCAAAGGTAAGTTAATAAAAAAGATGAATTTCAATTTTTTAACATTGTTACTGTTTAATTGTAAACAGTTTAACCCTGTTAAACTTAACAGACAAAAGAAAAAAAAACTTACAGTGGTATTATATTCTTGTTGCCCAATTTATTAATCTGCACATTTACGGAAAAGTCTCAGAAATTACTAAGTATTGGGTCAGCTGTGGCTTCTTCCCTAAGCTACATTTAACAAGCAACACCTTTGTTCCAAAAAACATGTGACTAGGTCAAAAGATCAGTTGGTCAGCTTCCAGATTTTATAAACTCTAATTTGATAAAGTATGAATTCCTTATATCATTGAACAAATAAATCTCTACATGCTTATCAAATGACATTAGCAATAATATGGTTGAAGAATTAAAAACCTTAAGTGCTCCAGACTGACAATAAAACTAGCATTTACCAGGAAACTGAAATCTCTGACAAGTCAGAAGACCAAAGCAATTTTCTCAAGTAGTTGAAAAGAAAATGTTCTAGTTGCAAAGCCTGGCTAATTGAGTAAAATCCAAACTAAGTATTTAGGGGAATAATTTGCAATAGCTAGAAAAGATGTTCTTTTTTCTTTTTTTTTTTTTTAATTTTTTTAATGTTTATTCATTTTTGAGAGACAGAGCATGAGCAGGGGAGGGGCAGAGGGAGACACAGAATCTAAAGCAGGCTCCAGGCTTCGAGCTGTCAGCACAGAGCCTGACGCAGGGCTTGAACCCACAAACTGCGAGATCATGACCCGAGCTGAAGTCGGACACTCAACCGACTGAGCCACCCAGGCGCCCCAAAGATGCTGACTGGAGTAGCTTTTCCTACTCCTTCACTTTTAGTCTGTCTCTTTAGGTCTGAAGTGAGTCTCTTGTACGCATATACATACAGATAGGTCTTGTTTTCCATCCATTCCTTTATGTGTTTTGTGAGGGTCAAAGCAGGGCTAAGAACCTAGTGAATGGTAGTGGAAAAGCCTCTTCCCAGCCAGGGCTCCGAGAGGTGCTGGCCCTGGTCAGGGTCCCATGACTCCTTTCTTAGCTACAGTTAAGGACTACATGTTTGTGTTTCTCCAAAATTTGTATGTTGAAACCCTACTTCCCAATGTGACGGTATTTGGAGGGGAGCCCTTTGGGAGATGGGCCCTGGGTCATGAGGGTGGGGCCCTCACGAGAAGAGACACCACAGAGTATGCTATTTCTCTCTCTCTCAGCCATGTGAGGGTACGTACAGCAAGACGGTCTACGAACCAGGAATTGGGTTCTTGCCAGACATCAAGTCTATGGCACCTTGATCTTGGGACTCCCCAGCCTCCAGAATTACAAGAAAGAAATATTGTTTAAGCCATCTAGTTTATGGCATTTTTGTTACAGCAGCTCAAACTAAGTGACCACAAAACTTACCAAGAAGTGTGGGTAAAGGCTTGCTAACATGTGACGCACCAATAGCCCAGCTATCTGAATGATGTCTAAGGTGGGTGGCTGAGCCAGCAAGGAGGAATTTCTGCTCTGACAGTTCTTTGCTGTCTTAGGCTACAAAGATGCTAAGCTCTACCCTATACAGTCCTATGTTCATTCATCAGAACTTTCGTTAGCCGAGCTGTCATCGAGATGCAAGTTATCCTACGCCGCTACCAAAAGCGGTTCTTTTTGAAAAGAACCAAAAGAAAGAAAAAACACATCTTGCACAACTTACCGAATTGGCTTCTTTTTCCAAAGAAGGGCATGAATCGTTGCTTGCTGGATTCTTTGGTATAGCAAGTTCAGACTTCTTAGCTTTTGGCTCAGCTTTGCTTTCTTTGGCAACTGGTTTTGTCACAGATTTAGGGGGACTCCACTTGTTGGGTGATGGCTTGTGCACCAGCGCTGAGGAAGACTGGCTCGATCCTTCATCTTCCTCCACGTCTTCCGGGGGGTGCTGGGGGGCGTTCAGTTTCACGTAGTAGCCGTGGTACTGAGAATGCAGCTCCCCGTTACTGGGGTTAGGGATGTGGTGGCGGCCAGAGTACTTGGAAAGGGGCACCATGGCTCCCACCTCCTTTGTGGGAGGCTTTGACATCAAAGGCTTGTTGATGATGGCTGTCACCTGCTCATCAGCCACACTCCGTTTGTCTTGGTTGAGTCTTGCCCCTGAGCTAGGGTTCTGCTTCTTCGTGGGTTTCGGGGAGGAGGGCTGGGGAGAGTGGCTTTGTTTGGGACTTGCTTCAGGAGACCTGGGGGGTGTCGTGCCTTTGCGATAAAAATGAGGAGATTCCTTTGGTGTAGGTGGCTTTTCTGGTACTTTTTCTTCTGGATTTTCTTTAGCATCTACACCTTCCTGAAATCTCTGTTTGATATAATCTGGGCCTGGGGAAAAATTGACAACAGAAGGGAAGGTAATAAAATAAAAGCAAGGCGTAAAGGCTTGTTCCTTAGGGCTATCTATATGCATTTTTTGCTAGTCAGATTAGCCATTCCTCTTGTTTCTTTTCCTTTAAAAATATTGACAAGGCTTGGATTAAGCATGAGCACACTTCATTTCCCAGGGGAAAAGATTATTTGTTGCTGAAAATGTTAACATTTACCATTATTTATACTATTGTGATAGCTATAAAAGTTAAACAGTTCTGACTTCTCTAATAATTGGATCATTCCTGCCTGCTTGCAGAACACCGAGGTGAAATTCAGGTTGATGCAGCACTGGTGATAACACCAGAATTAATCTGCATATTCAAATTATGTGGCATAATTAGAACATAGAGTACATACTCTACTAAACAGACAAGAGTCCGTTTAGTATATTAAAATATTTAAATTATTTAATAAACTGACATTTAATAAAGCGTCTACTGCGTAAGTAAGAATAGAACCTGCAGGGGCGCCTGGGTGGCGCAGTCGGTTGGGCGTCCGACTTCAGCCAGGTCAACGATCTCGCCATGTCCGGGGAGTTCAGAGTCTCCCAAGGCCAGGGTTCTGGTTGATGGCTAGAGCCTGAGCCTGTTTCCCATTCTCTCGCCTCCCTCTCTGCCCCTCCCCTGTTCATGCTCTGTCTCTCTCTGTCCCAAAAATAAATAAATGTTGAAAAAAAAAAAAAAAAAGAACCTGCAGATGACATTTTTAACGCAACTTCCTCAATGGGTCATTCAAACTTCCTGGAGTCTCTTCACAGGGGCTGTAAGCATTTTCTGTAAGCATTAAAGTCATGACAATGCAGTTGTTGTCTTTGACTCTGTAGTCCCAAGATTTTTTTTTTCTTTTTCTAAATACTTTAGGATTGTTTACAATAATCATGTTATTTTTACATATGGAAAAATCTGCCTTTCAAGAAAGTGTTGCTACTTGGACTTATTATTTTTGTTTTTTGCTTTCATTTGCATGGAGTATCTTCCTACTCTTTCCTTCATTTTCAGTCTACAGTGACTCTCTTGTAGGCATATAGATATAAATGGGTCTTATTTTCCATCCATCCCTTTACTCTGTCTTTTGGAGCATTTAGACTATTTAAGGTAATTATTGATAGATATGTACTTATAAAAAGCTGGGATAGCAATACTTACATCAGACAAAACAAAGACTGTAACAAGACACAAAGAAGGGCATGACATAATGATAAAGGGATCAATCCAACAAGAGGATATAACAATTGTAAACATCTATGCACCCATCACTGGAACACCTGAATACATAAAGCAAATATTAACAGATATTTATTTTCTGCCTGGATGATCTACCCAAGTGGGTGTTAGAGTCTCCTACTGTTATTACATTACTGTCATTTTATCCCTTTATAAGGGAACAGTGTCTTTGAATGATACATTAGACCAGATGGACTTAACAGATTATATACAGAACATACATTCTTTTCAAGTGCACATGGAACATTCTCTAGGCCAGATCACATGTTAGGCTGCAAAACAAATCTCAATAAATTTAAGAAGATTAAAATCCTAACTGACCATAACAGTGTGAAACCAGAAATTATAAGAAAAAAAAAAAAAAGGAAAAACCCACAAACATGTGGAGACTAAACAACATGCTACTAAACAACCAATGGGTCAACAAATAAAGAGGAAATAAAAAAATACACGGAGACAAATGAAAACAAAAACACAGTGATCTAAATCTTTGGGATACAGCAGAAGCACTTCTAAGAGGTAAATTTATAGCAATACAGGTTACCTCAAGAAAGATCTCAATACAGGTTAGCAATACAGGTTACAATACCTCAAGAAAGATCTCAATCTAACCTTATACTTAAAGGAACTAGAAAAATGGAATAAAGTCCAAAGTTGGTAGAAGGAAGGAAATAATAAGGATCAGAGCAGAAATAAAGGAAATAGCGAGTAAATGTACAACAGAAAAAAATCAAACAAAACTGATAAACATTTAGCCAGACTCCTAAGAAAAATGAAAGGAAAAAATAGAAATATAGGGGGAACAACCAGCACCACACAAATATGAAAGATTAAGAGACTAGTACAAAAAATTATATGCCAACAAATTGGATAATCTAGAAGAAATGGATAAATTCCTAAAAACATATAATCTTCCAAATCTGAATCAGGAATAAACAGAAAATCTTTTTTCAATGTTTGTTTATTTAGAGAGAGCTTGTGCACAAGCAGGGGAGGGGCAGAGAGAGAGGGAGAAAGAGAATCCCAAGCAGGCTTAGCGCAGAGTTCTATGCAGTGCTTCATCCCACGAACTGTGAGATCATGACCTGAGCTGAAATCAAGAGTTGGACACTTAACTGACTAAGCCACCCAGGTGCCCCAAGAAGAAATAGAAAGTCTGAACATATCAATTATTAGTAATGAAATTGAAATGGTAATCAAAAAACTCCCCAAAAATAAAGTCCAGGACTAGATGCATTCAAAAGGTGAATTCTACCAAATACTTAAAGAAGACTTAATACACAGTCTCCTCAAATTTTTCCAAAAAATAGAAGGGGAAGTAAAGCTTCCAAATTTATTCTACATGGCCAGCATTACCCTCATACCAAAACCAGACAAAGACATTACAAAAAAAATACAGGCCAAAAGATATGATGCATACAGATGCAAATACCCAACAAAACATCAGCAAACTTCATTTAACAATACATTAAATGAATCATTCACCATGAGCAACTGGGATTTATTCTGGGGGATGCAAGGATGATTCAATATTTGCAGATCAATCCATGTTATATACCACATTAACAAAATGAAGGATAAAAATTGTATGATCATCTCAATAGATGAAGAAAAAACATTTAACAAAATTCATCATTTACTCATAAGAACTGCCAACAAATGAGTTTAAAGGGATCATACCTCAACATAATAAAGGCCATATATGACAAGCCCATAGCTAACATCATATTCAGTGGTGAAAAACTAAGAGCTATTCTCTAAGATCAGAAATAAGTTAAGAATGTCCATCTTGCCCCTTCTATTGAACCTAGTTCTGGAAGTTCTAGTTATATCAATCAGATTAAGAAAAAGAATTAAAGGCATACAAATTGGTAACAGAGATATAAACTTACTATTTGCAAAAGACAAGATACTATATATAGAAAACCCTAAACACTCCACCAAAAAACTATTAGAACAAATGAATTCAGAAGTTGCAGGATACAAAATTAATATACAGAAATCTGTTGTATTTTTATATACTAATAATTTGTATAGAAACATTTAAAAAAAATTTTTTGTAATGTTTATTCAGTTTTTGAGAGAGAGAGAGAGAGAGAGAGAGAATTTGAAGCAGCTTCCAGCTTTAAGCTGTCAGCACAGAGCTCAAAGTGGGGCTCAAACTCACAAACCGCGAGATTGTGACCTGAACTGAAGTCGGACGTTTAACCGACTGGGCCACCCAGGCGCCCCTATTAACAATTTCTAACAAAGTGGCAGAAAGAAATTAAGAAAACAATTGCATTTATTTAAAAAAAAAAATTTTTTTTTTCAACGTTTATTTATTTTTGGGACAGAGAGAGACAGAGCATGAACGGGGGAGGGGCAGAGAGAGAGGGAGACACAGAATCGGAAACAGGCTCCAGGCTCCGAGCCATCAGCCCAGAGCCCGACGCGGGGCTCGAACTCACAGACCGTGAGATTGTGACCTGGCTGAAGTCGGACGCTTAACTGACTGCGCCACCCAGGCGCCCCAACAATTGCATTTACAAGTGCACCAAAAACATTGATTAAAGAAACTGATAACACAAGGGAAAGATATTCCATGCTCATGGGTGGGAAGAATTAATATTGTTAAAATAACCATACTATACAAAGCAATCTATAGAATCGATGCAATCCCTATCAAAATAACAATAGCATTTTTCACAGAACAAGAATAATCCTAAAATTTGTTCAGAACCACAGAAGACCTTGAATATTCAGCCAAAAACAATCCTGGAAAAGAACAAAGCTGGAGGTATCACAATTCCAGATTTTGAGATACACTACCAAAGCTATAGTAATCAAACAGTATTGTACTGGCACAAAAATATGTTACTGGAACAGAATAGAGAGCCCAGACATCCATGCTTATATGGTCAACTAATCTATGACAAAGGAGGCAAGAATATAGAGTAAGGAAAAGACAGTTCCTTCAATAAATGGCTGTTGGAAAAACTGGATGACTACAAGCAAAAGAATGAAACTAGACCATTTTCTTACACCATACACAAAAATAAAAACAGATTAAAGACCTAAATGTGAGACTTGAAACCATAAAGCTCCTAGAAGAAAACATTGGCAATAATCTGTTTGGCATCAGCCTCAGCCAACACTTTTCTAGGCAAGAGAAACAAAAGCAACAATAAACTATTGGGACTACACCAAAATAAAAAGCTTTTGCAAAGAAGAACAAATCAAAAAGGCAACCTACTAAAACTGGAAGAGGATACTTCCAAATGATATATCTAATGAGGGGTTAATGTCCAAAACATAGAAAGAACTTATGCAACTCAACTCCCCAAACACCACAATCTGATTGAAAAATGGGTAGAGGACCTGAACAGACATTTTCCCAAAGAAGACATACAGATGGCTAACAGACACTTGAAAAAATGCTCAGCAACACTAATCATTAGGGAAATGCAAATCAAATCCACAGTCACTTTACATCTTTCAGAATGGGTGGTATCAGAAAGACAAGAAGTAAGCATTGGTGAGAATGTGGAGAAAAAGGAACCGTTCCGCACTGTTGGTGGAAACATAAATTGGTGTAACCACTGTGGAAAACACTATGGAGGTTCCTCAAAAAATTAACAACAGAAATACCATATGATTCAGTAATTCCACTACTGGGTATTTACCCATAGAAAATGAAAATACTAATTTGAAAAGATATATGCACCTCTATGTTCACTGCAGCATTACTTA